TTTTTGAATAAACTAACAAGTTACACCCTAGATCATATTTTTGATAAACTAATAAGTTACACTTAGATCATATTTTTGATAAACTAATAAGTTACACCCTAGATCATATTTTTTAATATTCGCTTTCTCAGTAAATACAAGTATAACTTTTCAATTTTTATTCCAACTGGATGACCAACATTTTTGAGATTTCTTTACTTCGTATCATTCATGAAAAACACGCTGATTGTCCGTACATAACAACTTAAGTTCTTTAGTCCTTAGATTAATTTTGTGCTAGAATTAATTTATATCGCGAAGTAATTCAACATTAAAACGACAAATAACGTAAGCTATACTTTCAGAAACTTAAATTTTGTTACAATACTTACATCAATAAATATTCAGCGCCTCCCTACGGTGAAATTGTGATTCACATATAAGTTCTATAACGTACCTGATCAACAGGAAATATATTATAATAATTTCTTTTGGGGCACATTGTGCTGTTATATTAAGAGAAAAAAAACAAAACATTTTTTGGGGCACAATTAAAGATAAATTCTTTCTTAGAAGTTTTAGCCGACTAATTTCGATAAAACAGATACCTTTTTCTATTAGTTGCTAGCGCTGATGATGATAACTGTGATACCGAAACTAGTCAGCTGAAATTTCTAACAAATATATATTATCTTTAATTGTGCCATAAAATGTCGTTTTACTTATTTACTCTTAATAAGAAAATATATTGTTAATTTATTTTTTATTAGGACGGCCAAACAAATACAAATACAAAGTGTTACTGAAAGTATTATTTCCATACAATGTTTGTTTGTTGAATTTTGCGCAAAGCTACTCAAGGGCTATCTGCACTAGCCGTCCCTAATTTAGAAGCGATAGACTAGATGGAGGGTAGCTAGTTAACACCACCACCCGCCAACTCTTGAGCTACTCTTTCCACAACGAAACGTGGGATTGACCCTCAAGGTTGAAAGGTCGAGCATGTGTGATGCCCGATTCGACCCCGCGACCCGCATATTGCGAGTCGAGCGTCCTAATCACTAGGATATGCCAGGTCCTTTAATACTTTTTATTATTAAGGTTTCTAATGGCTGCTGTTTTTGATGTTCAAGTTAAAAAAAAGAAATAGAGGTAGCACATTTTACTAAAATCAAATACAGCTTATACTACGTATCACAGGTAAGACTCCGAAAACTCGAAGTCGGAATGCGAAGCTCTGGATCCTCGAGCCATGGAGCACGAAGTGCCTGTGACGTAACCAGAATCAGAAACTGGGTCGATAACAACCTTTTCTTTTGGCGATAGCATCACACCGTCCGCATACTGAACCGGCAAAGTGATTCGCACTCTCTCACCGCTAGAGGCCGTTCCATGAGAATATCTCAGTGCATTCTTCTCTCGTAGAGCTTGATTCAGGAGTTTGATTTGCTCTTCTTTCTGTAAAGAAACAATGAAACATTGCACTTTGCAGAGATTAGCGAGGCATTACAGTTTGTAGTTAAGTAGCTTCATAAGTTCTAAAACAACATTTAGTTGGTTCACAAAGAACAAGACTCACTGAACTTCAGTTATTACTTTAGTATATAATATTCTATGTATCAGTAAAAGACAGTCAAATAAGTACATAGATACACATATATATATTTATATATGGATGGAGAAGTAATAATTTTATTACTTCCGATATCTGTCTCTTCAAATCGTTGTTTTCGGCTAACAGACGTTGGTGGCGCTCTTCTTCTTCTTTCGTCGTAATTGTGTCAGTAAGATTTCTGGCATCAGTTCGTTCTTTAGGTCGTCTGACCAGTTCAATAACCTAAAAATAGAATTAAAAAACAGTAGAGGGAAAGACAGGTTATTAATTACGTCGTTTCACATAAATTTAGAGTGAATTCTATGTTCAGAACTTATTGAAAGTCGTTATCTTAAAAATCGTGGTTCGATCCCCGCGTTGAACACAGCACAGGGACTAGGTTATATCACTAGGTTGAAGTTATTCATTACGTTTCTACAAGACAAAAACTGTGTTCTTACGTTTCTACAAGACAAAAACTGTGTTCTTACATTTCTACAAGACAAAAACGGTGTTCTTACATTTCTACAAGACAAAAAACGGTGTTCTTACATTTCTACAAGACAAAAACGGTGTTCTTACATTTCTACAAGACAAAAACGGTGTTCTTACATTTCTACAAGACAAAACTGTGTTTCAAACTTACTTTGGGGACAAAAATAAGAGCCATGGACAGAAAACTGCAAAAAATAATAGCTAAAGCGACAAAAGCAAAAGTTGCATCTTGTTGACTGCTGATAACTAGGGTTACAGGAGCGGTAATAAGACAGAGAACCTGGAAACAATACAAACATTATAAGTCACAAATAATCTATTTTAGCTTTATCAAAAAGCTAAGATGTCTAAAGAAAGATACTAAATGATCAACTATTTAAAGAAAATAGGAAAATGGTTTTATATGATAATTAAAAGAAATAATGTACAGTTATTCGTTGTATAAATGCTGCCACGTAGAAACTTTCAAAGTGCAAGTCACGAAATTGTAAGATTATTTCTTCTGGCGACAATGATTATTGACAATTAAAATTGTTATATTTAAATTTAAACAACATTGGAAGTGGTTCATAACTTAAAACATTTAAAAACGGTCGTTTTTGTCGAAAAAGCTGGTCAGAAATGAATTGGGCATCTCTTATGGATCAGGGCCACGTTTTTCTCAAAATAGTTTGTAAATACAAATACACTAATGAAAGATACTTAGATGAAATGTTTACAACTTAATTCGTTTCACTTATAGTGACCCGAAGATTCGTCGTTCGTGCCCAGTCACTGTAACAGCGAAGATCAAATCTCACAATTCGATTATACAAGAGTTGGCGGAGGGTGCTGTTGACAGTTACCTTCCCTCTAGTATATCAGCTCAAAAACGATAGGGATGGCTATGCACAGATTGCCCTTGGGTATCTTTGCGCGAAAATTCTAAAAACAAAAACAACAACCTTTTCAGCCATTTTTTTTTATATTTTTCAGATCTTATGCTGTAGGCTGCGTTTATTTTTTTTTCGATTTATTGTGTTATTTTTAATACAAGGACAAGTTTAACTTAACTCGCAGAGAAGAAAATATACTATAAGCAGCCGTTAGAAATATATAGCAAAATGACAGTCACTCATTTTCATAATAGATTCGGCTTTATAGATAAATTAAAACTGTTAACATAAAAAAGATGAAACAAATTAAACTTGGTTGCAAAAAACAAAACCAAAACATTCAAGATTGGTCAAATCAGGGGTGCCGGAAAAAGTGGGGAAGGGGGTCATTCCAAATGAAATAATTTTCAGGTTTCCACCGCACGATTGCACACTAAGTCGTGCACACACAAATGTATGACATCATGAGGTCCAGTTTTGAAAAATTATGTATGACGTATTCACACAAATTTTCTCCAATATAAAATTATAATTGCAATTTTGAGTTATTTGTTTCGGATGAAATAATTTTTAAAAATAATAACTTTATCCCTAATTCCCAATTTTTAGCCTTTCATTGGAAGTCTTATTCAGATTGTGGAAATAAATAAATAAATTTTTCGCCCGCGCAGAGAGAACTTGTCAATAGCAACAGAAGACAATGAGGGTAGTTAAAAACATTTTTTCAAGCATACATTGTTAAAAATTCTCCCCTTTGATGTTAAAAGTGAGGGACAGAGGCCATCTCTTTATAAAAAGTGAGTGAGAATTGGCCCGTCTCTGGCACCTATGGTAAAATTTGCATATTATCATGAAATAACCATGTCAAATTTTCTTTAAACTTTGTGTTTTTGATGTTAGTCTTACCACAACGTTGTAAATGCACATTCCCACTAGTCTCGAATCATTCAGTTGTTTAATCTTTATGCTGCGGGTCTCGTAGGCGAGAAAAATGCCAAAAATAAGCAGTAGACCTTTATATCCGTACATTAGTCCTGCAAAAAAAAAGGAAAACAAACATTATTAAAAAAAGAGCGAGAGAGAGAGAGAGAGATGAATAAAGTACGTTGAACATAGCTTTGAAATGCCAAAGGTTAAAAACCTGAAGATATGGGATCGCTGAGTAAATTTATTATCATCATCATGTTTCTAACTTGAATCTCCTCTAATGGGTCAGCTAAAATCCGGGGTTCGATTCCACGCGTTGAACAGAGTGCACGTCTAAATAAAACATATTCTATGTTTATCCCTACACGTGGTGATTACTGGGTACACTATCGCAAATATCCAAATAAAACAACACGATGCTAGAATAAATAGCGGTTGTGTATGTTTTTGTTTGTAGTTAAGCACAAAGCTACACAAAGGGGCTATCTGTGCTCTGCCCACCACGGGTATCGAAACCCGATTCCTAGCGTTGTAAGTCCGTAGACACACCGCTGTGCCACTGGAAGGCTGTTATGTTTGTTTGTTTGAAGTTAAGCACAAGCTACACAAAGGGCTATCTGTGCTCTGCCCACCACGGGTATCGAAACCCGGTTTCTAGTGTTGTAAGTCCGCAGACATACTGCTGTGCCACTGGGGGGGGGG